TTGAGTCCAACAGAACCACCATAAATTCACTTAATGGAAATGCCAATTTTGAAAAAACCCAAGTTTTTCATAAAAAATCTTTTGTGCTAAAATTAAGCATCGTAACAATTCTTTTTGCATCACACAAGTCACGTGATCAACAGCTGTATGTCACTACTGGTGAAGAAAACTACAGGAAGTATTAGGAGGCTGGTGGTTTGCTTTTGTTTTTTTCTGACAATATGCAGCTGGCTCCACAGTATCACACAGTTCAGAGCAAGTTGTGTCATTCTAACGTGTTGAATCCATAGCTCTTCTGCAAAATGGCCGACTACAATTTCCCCAAAGTGTCCCAAACCTAGCCGCTCCCAAGTGGGCGGGGCTTGTCGCTCCAATGCCTAAATAAAAAGCTAATGTATCCTCTGTTTGGCTGATAGAGACTGAGCTCCAGCATCATGGCTGAATTATGAATGTATCTCATGTTAATGTTTACATCAGTTGCTGCCTTGGTTATTAATTATTTATTGCATGAACAAACTTATTCATGTGTGATTTTAATTTAATTTCTTATTTAATGGAAGCATTGCGATTGTGAAGATGTGTTTTGTGATATCAGCAGAATAGTGACAAAGATTTGTGTACATTTGTAATGGAAATTCAGCTAGTGACAGATGAGACAGGAGGTGTGTTTGTAAGTTCTGTTAGGTTAAAGCCCTGCTCATCTGTGCTAATCTGACTGATGAAACTGAAGTTATCTGGTTTCCATCTTCCAACAGCATGAAAACAAAGGGACTATTTCAGGGGTTTTGAAGACATTTGGTCTGCATTGTGTCCTCTCAGTTTTAAAACTAGTCAGATGTGAACTCAGGATGCCTTAAATGGAATCCTATGTGAAAACTGCAGCACTCTTTCTGAAACAGGTCGTTCTACTTTATACTGATGTTACTTTAGAACAGGGGTGTCAAACTCCAGTCCTCAAGGGCCGCTGTCCTGCAGTGTTTAGATGTGCCACAGGTAAAAAACAGTGGAATGAAATGGCTTAATTACCTCCTCCCTGTGTAGATCGGTTCTCCTGAGCCTTGCTAATGACCTAATTATTCTTTTCAGGTGTGGTGCAGCAGAGGCACATCTAAAAGTTGCAGGACAGCGGCCCTTGAGGACTGGAGTTTGACACCCCTGCTTTAGAAGAAACGGGATGCTCTGAAAAATGCCGTAGGACAGGCTCTGTTTGAACCAGACTTTGATAGGAACATACATGTTGACATTGGTTTAAAAGCTGAAGCTGGATTCTATGGAGAGATTGGTGATGTAACTTGTGTCTGTGAGAGTGAAATCCCTGTCGACTGAATTAGAAACACATTCCCAGCTCACCCACAGCCGGTCTAAAACCCTAGGTAACATGAGTATCTCTCCTTTCTTCTTCATATTTTAGATTTTTGTATTTACTGATTGTTTAAGGTCTCTGCACGCTCCACAAGAACAAAGAGATTTGCTCTATCTACCAGGGCTGCTAGGAAAATGAAATGGTTCTATTTCTTGTAGGTTGTTCTTGACACGTCACCTGGTCTCATGTTGTAAAACCACTACTATGGGTTTGAGCAGAAATTTGAAGGTGGATTATTTCCTAACGTATCCTCTAGTCTTATGAGAACTTCCCAGGAAGTCTTATGTATTCTTTGTATCGCAAAAGTTATTTTTTGATTGAGAAGCTGACACTTCTCCACCATACAGCTCAACTGAATGAGCTCTATTATTAAGGTGAAACTTAAGGAGCTTGTCAAGTGTTCATATTTCAAAACAGAACCTTATGAAGTTCATTTCGAATCCCGCAGCAGACTCTGATTGGACCAATTTTTTTTTTTCCTGTTCTGGAATGCCCCTGCCATCTTTGTTTCTCTATCAATTGGCTCCACTTAAAGATGACCAGTGGCGCCCGCTTCTGAATGGCGGCCAAACTAAAACACTAAAGGAAGGACTAACAGATGTTTTTATTCAGTTGAAACTAATTTTAGTCTAATAAATTATTAATTGTAAGTAATTTTATTGTTTGTATCCCTAATTTAGTCAATAACTAAAATATATGTAAAGTGTAAAACACATTACATAAGTCCAATATCACTGTAACTGTAATTATTCAACATTGATTAATATCAAAGCCTTTTGTTAATTTATTTCTTTAATCATGTGTATATATTAAGTATATTTTATTAACTTTATGTGGATGTGTTAAACTGGCTCCTAAGTGTGTTTGATAAGTGTTAAAAGATGGATGGTTGCTTCATAAAAAATTGATTTCTCCATCTCACTCACTGTGTTTTCCTCTGCTCTATGTTCTAGATTCCCGCGTGCGTGCGTGCGTGCGTGTGTGTGTACGCAGCAGACATCCAGTTCATCATGAGGTCACCTGTTGACTGGTGCAGCTGTCATGCTGCCTCCAGCAGCGGTGTCTGCATGTTGAATTCAGTGTAACAGTATTAGTCTATCAGCGTATAGATTTCTGTTGTTTTCATTGCACTAAGATTAGTGGTTAGTCAGCCAACAAAGATATGCTGATATTAAACTCTTCAACAGTCTAATAACTAGCAGAGGTGACATTATGATTAATTTCTACCTTGAGTACTAACAGCTAATTTAATAGAGAAGAAATAAACTTGGTATATTTGAGTACAGAGACAAGCATGTAAAGGGATAATGAGTAGTTATGATGTGGAAAATGGGACTACTGTGAAGGCAGTAATAAATATTGATATATTTTAAAGTTTTATTCAACAAATGTTGTCTCAAGGTAGTTTACAAATAAGTCACTGCAATTCAATCACGCATACATTCCAATTGATGCTAGTTATCAAATGGAGCATTGAGCTCAGCTTATTATTAAAATTAGTGTAAAAAGTTTTGTGTCTTGGGAAACCCAGCAGTTTGCAGAGTCATTCACTCCTGGACTAGCACATAGCACATAAATAATTGTATCGTTGGCTTTGCAGCAATACTAAGCATGAATGTAGCGACAGTGGAGAGGAAAACCTCCCCTTTAAGTTACAGGAAGAAACCTCTCTGGTACAAGCGGTCATCTACTGCATCAACTGGGGATTTGACTACATGACTTAAAAACAATCTGAATGTGTTCAACATTGTAATCAAACAGATTCAGATTGTTTGTAAGCCATGTAGTACTTGGAAATCTTGCTATTTGGTATGAAATTTGAGCCAAAAATTGCACACTAAATGGCTATGTGGCTAATTTACTTTAATTCTGAGCTAGTCCAATATGATCATTGCTATGTATAGAATATGCATCAACAGGCATTATGGTTTACATACGCCACTTTGTGGCAAATTAAGTGATCAGAGACTACATGAGGCTAACATCTCTTTAAAGTCTCTCAAATGTAGTTGAGTTTTGGAGCCGACTTATGTGGTAGGAGGTTGGGCTGTACCGGTCTGTCATGGTGAAGACAGCTGAGTCACAAGGTGAAGCTGTCAGTTTGCCAGTCGATCTACGCATATTAGGGCCACTGTACATATAAAAAAATGAGTATATTTCTGCCAAAAAAACAACACAAATATTTAGGTTAATCTAAATTTTATTTTTGGAAAAAAACAGAAATTTTGAGATTAACCAAGAAAAAAAAAACATGGAAATTTCTGAGTTTCAAAAGTTGAACATTTTTCAATTTTGCATTTCAAATGGTTTTGTCTAGAACTTTCCATCTCAGAATTTTACTCTTGCTACCTTTTGATCTGTTCCATGAATTTCTGGCCTGTTCAGAATGTTGTATATTCAGATTTGCGTACAAATGGTAAATCTTCTTGTGATTATCACATTATGATGTCACTTTATTTTATGTTTTTGATGGTAAACCATATATGGATTTGATTTTTATGTAGAACAAAGCCAGGTCAGTTTGGTAAGCCAATAGATGGCTAATATATAAATGGGCCCCGGGTCACTTTGAACCAGAAAAATTGGACCCCGAGGTCAAAAAGGTTAAGAATCCCTTGGAGCTGCTCTAGAGGGACTATGTTTCTCGGCTGGCCTGGGAAGGCACGGTCAAAATATTTGGAAGGTTTTTCCAGCTCAGTACAACCCTGTACTGAGGGTTTGGGGTGAAGATTCTATGCTTGAGCTTTTTAGAAACTATAGGTTACAGGGGAAGGGAAAAGGGTAAGGATGTTTTGGTAAGTAAAAATATGCCAGCAGGGGTTTAAACTTGACCCTTAACAGCAGACAGATTGTAGAATAAAAAATTATTCTGGGATGAATATTTAGGCACTGTGACAAAACATTCTTGTAAACTTCATGCTGGACAAGTATCAAGGGCGCTCTATTTGGTTAGCTGAGGTTTTAATTTTAGTGAATTCAAGATTGTTTAAAGAAGGCATGAAATACAAGGCACTGCTGATACAGAAATCCAGAACAACATGTGGGTAATCTGGCAGGAACTGAAGGACACCTCAAACATGATAGAGCTATGGGTTTCCAGGCCCCCATGGAGCTGTATTGTTTTTAATTATACGACGCTGGTTGAGAACAGACCGCAGCACCAATGCTGCTCCATCTATGAAGCTCCTTTAGTGGAAAACCCCCTGGATGCTGGAGTGTTCTCTGGTGTACATGCTTTCTCTGCCCAAGCACACACACTCTGTACACACTCTCATCTCTCCAGCAGAGAGAGATGAGAGCACATGCACTGACATTTTCTCAGGTCCTGTCAGTGTGTGTTCAGTCATGCAGCAGCAGAGTCTGGCTTCTACTCCAGCTGGCCATGTGACTGTCTGAATGCCACAGCCTGCTGCTGCCTTTCATGTGGAAATGCAGCTAGGAGAGCCTGGGAAGCCCATTAGGAGGAATGGGAAAGTGACAGATTAGGAAAGACAGCAAAAAGCAGAAAGACGGCGAGCTCATCTTGTTTGCCCTTTACTGCTGCTGCTGCTACGGGTTCCAGGATGGATCAAGCTAAGAGGAAAGGAAATAATCTGATTAAAACTTTGTTTTAATATTTGGGCTTCCGGTCCCTGTTTTCATTTGAATCATTTATTTTACTCACAGATGTCAATAACATGTCATGGTAGTAATATCAAGGTAAATAATTCTGGTTTGAAAAGCACACATTTAGTAGGCATGTTATTAGACTCTCCATAACATGTCTACCAGACTGTAGTAATGGTGATGTTCTGCAGTGTTTAACACCAATCCAGCTCAGGTGTGTGTAGATTAACCGTAGTGACTCTGTGTGTGTGTGTGTTCAGGTGCGCTGGATGATGTACTGGATTGTATTTGCCTTGTATACAGTCGTGGAGACAATCACTGACCTGACTGTAGCTTGGTGAGTAACCTGAATGAAGCACATTGCTAACCTTGGCACATACACGTGCGCGCACACACACACACACACACACACACGCATATATATATATATATATATATATATATATATATATATACACACACAGACACATTGGAACGTAGTGAAGCATTCCTGGATGTTAGCGTGTTGTGCACATCCTGCAGCTAAAAGCACTAACCTCAGTTTGTTCCAGCCAACACTGGCTTCTAGTTTTCTGGTCTGACATTCTAATCAGAATTTTGACCATTCAATTATTTTTTTCAACAGACTGTAACACAAAGAGCCCAGTAATTATTAATGACCTAAGACATATGCTGCAGGTTTTCAGTATTTAACCAGCCCTCCACTGGTCAGAGTGGAAAATGACTGATACTGAGTTGTTGCTGACCACTTAGATTTTTTTAATCTACTCTCAATACACTAGTCTCGGAACTCAATAAACTAACTCTTTTGACATTTGGAGCAATGCCCTGTTGATAAAAACAAAAAACACAAAATTAACAAAATAGCTTTTTTTCTAGCAGAAGTAAGGCAGATTTTTGGATAAGATTGATTTCACATAAGTATCGGCCAATCTGCGATTTCCCAAAATGAAGGAATTTGTGGTCAATTTATTTGTCCATTGTTGATTCCTTGGCTTATAAATGCTGTCAAACTGAATCTCCACTTTTCTTCACCTAATGATGAGACCTGAGTGAAGTTGGCCCCCCACCTTCTTCAAATTGAACAAAATTGGTGTCAAACGTTTGTACAGCAAACATTTTCATTTGTGGCACTATAATTTTAAAAATATTAATAAATGTTTCTAGAGCTCATCAAAGGTCAACCAGCAAAATCAAGCAAATCAACTGTGATTGACGCCATGTTTAATTTTATTTTGGTAAATGTTGACTGACCTGGAAACATTTATTCATTT